ATTTTAAAATATTAATATATTGATTTTATCTTATCATATGGAGTCCAAATTTTATTTTCAAACTCCTTACCCAACAATACTTTTAAATAAAATTTGTGCGGGATCCAACTTGTTAACTTGAAGAAAAAAGTAACTAGGCAGAATTGTAAAACGAATTCCTTGAAAACAAGATAATGGATGGATTAGTTAGAGGTCCATTCTCCACACAAGACACATTTGTATATGAATCGATTCTCCAATTGCTTTTCATTAGATTGTATGTTGTTAACTCTATTCAATATGCATTTTTCCTATGTGTTGTAGCAAACCTAACTTTCCTACCTCAAAGATACTCATGTTTATTACTACAAGTGATAAAAGTTTACTACAGTAGAAATATGCTTGCCAATATGGAATTATTCGCAAAGAGTGATTGAAGGGAATAATTATCAACTTTAGGGTGAAGCCTCTTGATATGCTTTAAAGGAAGGTTTTTATTCGTATCCCCAAAGTTGCATGCTTTAATTTATGGACCATACTTTTCTCATTCTTCAGAGAAAAAATCTTTATCTTGAATATTACTTTTGTACGATAAAACAATGTCACATTTCATCTTTACGAGAAAATGATGACTTTCGTCTTTACCAAAAATAATGCAAGTTTCATCCTTACTTTTGTATTCAAATCGAGAAACTCTTAGAACCATTTGGATGGAAGGACTCTCAACACGTATATAGAGGTTTTACAATAAGCTTGTATTATTTTTGGTAGGTTAAATAATAGAGCTCTATTAGAGGGGGTATTGAGGAGGAGCAAAAGGTGTAGTCACACATGGTCTCAAATTTGAAGGGTCCCCTAAATTTTTGCCATCTAACATCATGTAATAATGTTCTATATTTAAAAAATTACTTTTGTTAGCACTTTAAACCGCATTGTGCACTCCTTATAAGAGTATTTTTTTTTCCTTTCTAATATAAAAACTTGGAGTACAATAACATTTTTTGAGTGTCAATAATAACACCCCAAAAAGCGACAGTTTCTTAATTTTATAATATAACAACGTTATATATATTCAAGTGAACTAAAAAGTTAGAGGTTTGATTTTTTTTTATTTTTTTTATTTTTCATGTTTGGCTATTTAAGAAATAACACTGCTTTTGATTATTTAGTGAATGTTATGTTTGTAACTCTTTTTACTTATTATTAAGGATATTTGTAAACATGCAATCAGTAAGTGCTAAAGTTTGTTTTGATTTTTTTTTTTTTGAACAAACAATATTATCTGTTTTCTTAATTTTAAATATAACAACGTTATATATATATATATATTCAAGTGAACTAAAAAGTTAGAGGTTTGATTTTTTTTTATTTTTTTTATTTTTCATGTTTGGCTATTTAAGAAATAACACTGCTTTTGATTATTTAGTGAATGTTATATTTGTAACTCTTTTTACTTATTATTAAGGATATTTGTAACATGCAATCAGTAAGTGCTAAAGTTTGTTTTGATTTTTTTTTTTTGAACAAACGATATTATCTACGCTAAGAGGGTGGGAGAGTGGGCTAAGCTTCACAATGGACTAACAATAATATGATTCAAATTCGTCTTTGGCGAGAATTGAACATAAGACCTCTCACATACAAGTGAAGAGGAATACCACTAGACCGTAGTACTAAGTGGCTCTATTTTCTAGTATCAATACATTGTCATACTTTTTCAAAACTTAAAACTATCTTAAGAAGGGCCCCTTTTACAAATTTCGCACAGGACCCTCAAAATCTCAGAAACGGTCCTGAGCTCTACCAGCCAAGACAATCCACTACTTACTAAAACTAAGGAAGTTAAACCCCTAGGTCAATGTATTTCTTTGGACTAAAAGGAAATAGTTTTGAGGTCTCAATAGGAGCACTAGGTGTACTCCTAGTTGAAATTCTCAAAACATACAAACAAGAGGGGTGTCCTTATAAGAATAAAGGGAAACATATGTAGCATTGCCTCAAAATATCTCACATCGAATAAAACTATAGGACTGGTCTGCATGAACTTTTAGGTATCCTTCACTTACAAGTTGGTTTGTGAGGACAAGTTTTACTCATAAATTATTTAGCATAAAAAATTGATTCCTTGATCTACACTCGACAGCACACCATGGCATCGATAATTTTCTCACAATATGCATTTTTTTTCAATGAGTCAAAGATTCAAATGTGAGATGTGTTTAACATTATGGATATTATAGAGACAAGTAGACAACCATTACCCCTTTAGATGCCAAATGGATAAAGAGTATGTGGATATGGCACGAAATAATGTACAAACCTATCATCCTAATAGGGGATTTATTCAGTAATTTTATCAAAGGAATATTAATAATAATCTAATCAAGTGGTAATTACCTTTGAGAAGAGTTGCTCTTTGAAGAACACAGTATGATGAAAGTTGTAAGCTGTGTTCTCCGCTGGGGGGAGGGGGGGGGGAGGGGGGAGGGAGGAAGTTATTGTCTATCGTTAGCCTCTATGGTATAGATTCCAAACATTCATGATCTAGATGTGAATGAATCGAGTTCAAAAACTCACCAAGCGTAATTGTCTTGATGGCTTTAAGAATGATGCAGTATGCAACAGCAAGCAGCAACATAGTGGAGAGCCTCCTTAACAACCTTAGGATACAACTTTCACAATTCATGGCCTTGCCTAGACCGAGAACGATCACAGTATGCAACAGAATATTATAAAGCATAAGCATCATCTAACGTAATATCAAATTCCTTAAGAAGAAATCCAACAAGTTCAACGTCATCAGGACCTAATGCCTTGTGGATTCTCCTGATTCTCTTATCCTCTATCGGCTCAATTTCCATCATACTTGATTCATCATTTTCCTCAGATTTGAGACGGTGCAATTTGTTGTCATTTGAAACTTCATGCAGAAGCTCTTTATAGCCATGTTGTCAAGATCGGACCTTGCTACCCTCTAGACGCAGTGGAAGGGAACTCCTCCTGCATCGGGCCTACACCATTAAGCTACGTGAAGCTACATTAAACAACACAATCTCCACACTAGTACTATTTGGCGGAGTTATTCAAACTTAAACAACATGAAACTTAAATAACATTAAAAAAATATATTTAACAATATAAAACTATTATTGAGGGAGATTACATATTGACAATAAATCTAGAGAGTTACTCACTTTAATGACACGTGTCACTCGAAATCTGTTTCGAAAATTTATTGAGATTACATATCGACAAGAAATCTGGAGAATTACTCACTTCAACAACATGTGCCACTGGAAATCCATTCCGAAAAATTATTGAGTCAACAAGAAATTTAGAGAGTTACTCATTTTAGTGACACGTGTAACTCGAAAACCTATTTGAAAAGTTACTGAGATTACATATTGAAAAATTATATTTGAAAAGTTACTGAGATTACATATCGAAAAATTATTTAAGTAACCATATTAATTCAATTAAAATAATAAATTATGTTTGGCCTATGACCCTTTGGCTCTCTCGGTTGGAGATGGTTTTTTGTTACAGGGCTATGTTTGACCTATAGCCCTTTGGCCCCCTCGGTTGAAGATGGTATGAAATATGACTTGACACTGTTCATTAAATTATAGTTTCTTAAAGAGTTATAGGACTAAAGGGAGCCCTCTTGCCCTTTTTCGGTTGGAGATGGCCTAACAATCAATAAGAGCAACTCCAGCGGGAGCTTTTGCTCTGGGCACAGGCTCGTGAACAGGGCTAGAGAGCCCGACTAATTTGGTCCAGCGTGTGGTAGCCCGAGGGACAGGCCCAGCCCGGGGGAGAGGCCTAGCACGAGTTGCCAGCCCGAGAGCCCGAAGTGGGTGTGACGTCAGGGCGACATCAGCTGCTTTTTTTATTTTTTTTCTGTCAGGCGCGTGGGCGCGCGTTAGGGGACATAAATTCAGAAATGGGGCCCGTGGCCCACTCAGATTTCTTACCGTTGGGGAGGCCACGTGGCTTCCCCATGTCCATTGGATTTCAATGGCTATATTTTATGGACCGTTGGATTTTCAAAGGTAAAAAAAAAAATTAAAAACCTCATTTAATTTCAGTCGTTGAATCTGAGATCAACGGTCCACGTTATTAGGCTATGGAAATTTAAAAAAAGAAAAAAAGAAAAAACAATTTAAAATTTTGAAATGTTACAGTTGTGCCACGTGGCATAATCTGGAGTGTTGGAAATTCAAATTTTTTAATCCAACGGCAGAGATTAATTAGGTGAATAAAAATTAAAAAAAAATGTAAAAAATTATTATAAATCAGAAAAAAAAATGAAAACATTAAAAAAAAATTGATTTTACTTTTCTATAAATACCTTCTCATTATCTTCTACCTTACACCACAATTTCATATTTTCTCAACTAGTTTCAACCACATTCCTATCTTTCTTTCAAAGTTTCAATCTATTTTTTTTTTCCATCACCAATAATTGTCTTTTCGGATTTTATGACAAGTAGGGCAACAAGAACGATTAAAAATCTTATCTGAAATTACAAATAAAATTATTTTGTATTATTTAATAATACTTCGGATAATGACACGTAGCGCAACGAGAACGATTAAAAATCTTATCCGATATTATAATTAAAATTATTTTGTATTATTTTATAAATAAAAAAAATACTAATATTTTATTACCTATTGCTAGGGCTATTGAAGTGTAACGGTGAAGATGCAAATGCTATTGCCAGGGCTATTACTATTCATTAAGGGCAGTTACTGTTCATTAGGTGGATTGAATAGTGTATAGTCTGGGAGAAGGCCTCTAACGCCGGAGTTGCTCTAAGCACCTTTAAAAAGTGTTTAAGAGGCAACGGCCACACATAAAAAAACTGTGCCCTTACACGTTCTAAAATTTGCATTACGGAGTGGGCCACCGAACTGCATGGGCTGGATTGTATTGGGCCATTAATTATAAGTCCAAGTGGGTTGCAATATTTAGCCCAATAAGTTTTATTTAATTATTTAACTTTATCAAAAAAACCATTCAGCTTTACTCGGCTCACGCACTGAGACGATGGAGTCCGCAAAGCCCTACCCGCGCTCAAACCCTCTGCTCTCGCTCTCCACCTTCATACACCAGCACTGCCTCCGCCTCGGCGCCGAGCTCTCCACCCGTTTCGAAGACACCAAGCGGCTAGCGGGAATCCTAGCCGGAAACTTCGCGCCGCTGGCGAGCAGGCGCATGTGTTCGGCTCCGGTTGCTCCGCCCTTCGCGTGGCTGGCTCAGAGCAATCACGCCCTGGCCGCTACCCTCAGCTCGGACCACGTGGCGAAGAGCCTGGCCGGCACGGCGGTGTATACGGTTAGCAATTCGAACAATGAGTTCGTGCTCATCTCTGATCCCAATGAGGCCAAGTCCATTGGATTGCTTTGCTTTCGGCAGGAAGACGCCGAAGCATTCCTCGCTCAAGTTAGCATTTTTAATTTTTTTTGGAGGGAAAGATTAGTAGGATGAGTAATTAGTTGCATTTAGAGGTTAATTGGATGGAGGAATTAGTTGCATTTAGGTTCATTGAGTGGAAATTTAATGTTTTGCTTGATTTTTTGGCTGAAAGAGATGCATTTAGATAAATTGGGATTGTTGAGAAGTCAGTGATTTGAAATGCGGATGTTATTTTTTGCTTGAATTTTCAGCTGGTTTTGTATTTGGGTGATTCAGGTTCAATCGAGGAGAGAATTACGAAGTGCGGCTAAAGTTGTCCCGATTACTCTTGACCAGGTGACTTGGTATAAAATGGAAAGCAATTAGCACACAGTAACCAGAATTCCATATTATTACATTGCCTGTGAACTTGCGAATTAATCATTTGTAGGCTAGAATTTGGTGTCAAGTAATTTCAATAGTTGAACAAGTAAGGATAAAACATATCTGTGAGTGGCGAGAATTTGAGGAAAGGTTCCATCTAGTGGGCAGCATATGGTCTCAGATTATCAAAGTTATGGGGGTCGTATGACATGTCCCCCTTTTAAAGTGTAACGAGAACTAGTGTTAGTGTTATGCTACTTAATTTCCAAATTACTTGTTGCCTTTAAACTTAGATATTATGTCCAGTGGTAGATCCATACGATTTAGCATTACTCTGTATCTTGTAGGTGTACATGCTGAAGGTTGAAGGAATTGCATTCCGGTTTCTGCCTGACCCGGTTCAAATAAGGAATGCACTCGAGGTTTCTGTTTTTCATTATGTATTTGCTTTATATTTCAGTTACAATTGGTCCTCTTTTTTTTATTTTTATTTTTTTATGGTCTTATAGTTTCACTATGGTATGTCTATGTTTTGATACATAAGCCACATGCACTTTCATTCCTTATGCCCCTAGTGGCCCTTGGACACTTGCTTCGCCCAATGAACCCTGTATGACATGCATTATACTGGACTTCTGTCTTCATTAGTAATTGTCTTGGAAGAAACTCTTGGAATGCCTGTCATATGGGCCTTCATATCGACACTCTCGAATATCAATTTTTAAGACATCTAGTGCAAAGTGAGAACAAGGAGCTTCGATGAAATGGATATATTAGATGCAACACGTTAAACTGTGTTCGTACAGAAAGTCTACTGCCTGTCCTTACATATTGACTGTATCTTTTAAGACAATTCAAACTGGGTGTGCATTACATGAATCTGTAATTTCTTTTCTGAAACAATTAAGATTGGCTCGCAATCATTTTCTGTTTTGTAGCTCAAATCCGCTGACAGGAGTGCATTTGATGGAGTTCCTGTTTTTCAGGTAGGCTAGTCTACTTGTTGATTGTAATTAATAGATTGCAGGAGTATTTGAAACATGCTAGGTAGGACGATCCAGGGGATGAACACCTCCAACTTTGTAGTGCATGATATGGATGACATTAGTAATTCACACATGAGTAGTGCATTTTCATCGTATATTGAAAAAAAAAAAAAAAAAAAAAAAACAAGTTTATGTTTTGGGAATTGCCTGACCTTATGGGCTTCTATAAGTGCCCAGGCGGTAGAGTTGTCATATTGCTGTTCTCAGATCTAGTGAATTGGTGGGCATTATCTGGGAGTGATCCTTAGGCAGTAGAATTGCTTGGGTGAATATGGCGATTATCTTACGACTAAATTTTTGTTTAGCGTCGGACCTTCTGGAATTGCTTGTGTGAATATGGCGATTATCTTATGAGTAAATTTGTGTTTACAGTCGGACCTTCTGGTTATGAAGAAGAAAAACAAGTGTTACTGCCCAATATATTTCACCAGGGTACTTAGAATTGAAGCCTCGAGCTCGTATTTATGTATTGTTTTGTCAAGTAACTTGCTTTTATGAGATTGGTTTAGACATAATTAAATTTATTTTCCATGGTGCAGGAAGATATAGAAAAAGAATTGTCAAAGGTCTCAAGAGCATCTAGAGGACCTGGGGTTTCTCAACATATTATGGTGTTGTATAAGCTGTTGTCAAAACCTTTCTAGATAATAGATGTGCAAAAAATTTCATTACAGTCGGAAAATAGGAAGAAAATATGTTATCATATCTGTTGATAAGGCTTCCCGTTGCTTTATTGCATTCTCATTATTTCAATAAAATGTTTTAACAGGTTGGCAGTTTGGAAGACGTTTTGAGAAAAATGGAGGTATTTGGTCTGGTAACTGCAAATTTTTTTTTTTTTTTGGTTCTTTTGCTCCTACTCTCTAGTATTTTTGTTGAAAGAAGTTCAATGTTAATGCAGTCAAGCGAAAAGAATTCAGGCTGGGAAGACCTGATTTTCATTCCACCGGGAAAAAGCTACTCCCAACACATTCAAGATGTGGTTAAAGCCTGAAACGTACAGAGCCCATCTTCAACTAACCGTGCGAGGATTTCAATTAGCAGTGAGCCCCTTGCATGTTTCAAAAGGTTCTCATAAATAAGGCAGGTCCGCCATCATGCTCGCTCATTCTTTGTTTTCCCTCGGAGCTGGTCGATGATATGCAAAGGGAAGCAGAGCTTGGAAGAGAACATGGCAGAGTGGAACAACCCAAATTTTTCTTTGCTGGAGGTGAGTGAATTGCCAACTGTGGACTCTAGTGGAAATTATTTGGTAAATTTGATGTCATTGTTCTCTAGAGAGTGTATCAATGTTCCTGGTATCGTAGACGGGTTAAGAGTATTCAACTATTTATACACCATGTCGCTCTCCAATCCCCGTGTAACACATGTTGAAAGGCTTAATGCTAGACCACACTATATATTGTATGGAAGTTCTTCGACAGGAATGCTATGTTGTGTATTATCTTGTAAGACGACGTTATTTCGGGTGGTACTTTAAGGATAAAAGGGCAATAATGCACGTTGAGAAATAGTTTGCCGAAAAGAATGTCAACCACCAAACCCCAAACCCCAAACCCCAAACCAACTAATGTAAGCTTGATTAACCTGCTATTGAAAAACACTCCACAGCAAGAATATGTGGATTTGGTGTTGGGGTTTTGTTTGTGTATGTGGATTTGGTGATGGGTGGTTGTTGGAATCTTGTGAAAAATCATCATGAATCTGTACTTTTTTTCTCAATCGGAATTCATATGATGATGTGTGTTAAACAATATAATACTATTAAATATTTTCCCCATCTACACAATTGTTATTAAGGATTTTTTTTTTTTTTTTGGGTTTAGTGCCTAGATTGGATTAGATATGATTGAATAATTCACTGTGTTCAGAGTATGTTCAACAATAGTCGATAAGATTAAGAAATTTTGTCCAACTCAAAGGTAGAAAATAGATTACTGATGAAGGAAACTTTTTCCCTCCAAACTCCTTGAAACGAAAATTCATCTCCTCTATTATCTTACGTACCTTTAATTACATAAATTATCTAATCTCATTCAATTCCTTTTGGCAGGGCTGGAGCCATTAGCAAAAAATCACCTTGAAAGTGCTAGAATTCTAACTTTGTGTTAGGACATATGGTCCTAGGGATAAATTCTAAACACCAAACGAACTCTTGAGTATTACATTACCAAATTCATGGACTAATATGTGACATATGTAACACACTCTTGGATCTAGAGGACATTGATAAAGTTTACTCAAGGCCCCATCTTCAGTTGGTCACAAATCAAGATGTTAACATTTAATCCAAAAACCATGATGTGCTGATGTCTAACCTAAAGCCTATTGATAAGTTATAAATCAATTGCATTTTATGGAGGAGAAAATGTGGATATATAGGTGCAACCACACAATTTCTTAAGGGCTAAAAGCGACATTGCATTGCATGAAGGAAGATGACAGGACAACCATTAAGTTGTTGAAGTTGGGGGCCTGAATTGGATACCTTTGTATTTACTTTAAAGTACCGATATTGCCATTTGTCAGTTGTCACCCCTGCCCTCCTATCTATTGCTTTTATTTAACGGGACGATAAGACAAATTTAAAAACAAAAAGGGTTATTAAGGATATATAACTTCACGTGCTTATGACATGATTGTTATTTTTGTTTTTCAACTTTGTTAGTTTTGTTTTTCAACTTACGGTAATTCTTTTTAGCACCCCTTTTAACAAATTGAATTGAAATAATACGTATATTATCTTGTTATATTATTGTTAAAGTTTAAGTTACAATCCTACATTCGAACTTGATTTCATTCATAATCAATTAAATTGATAGTGATGACTACCAAGAGTATTTTTGGAATTTGGAAAATATTAAAATTGCCATTAACCACAAGTACTATTACTAATTTACTATCATGGAACAAGAAGAAGCTACGCGCCGACCTTTTGTTGTTGTCTGCGAGGGGAGGGGAAGTCCAAAACAAGGCAACGACGCTCGAGCTTTTTAAATGGTTTTCTTTTCTTTGAGATTTACTCTAATTTCGCTGTCTTTAGCTCTCTAACCACTGCAGCTAAATTCATCTCCCAAAACATATATTTCCTAATCGGAGAGAGAGAGAGAGAGAGAGAGAGAGAGAGAGAGAGAGAGAGAGTCGATATTTATATATATATATATGTGTGTGTGTGTGTGTGTCTATCTATATACAGAGAGTTCCCAAAAGATGATGGAAGGACATGCTGGTCTTCAAAAGATGATGAAGGCTACTTCTTTCAAATCTGCTATGGTGATCAAAATCAACTTGGTTTTAATTGCTTTGTTTTTCGTTGTCTATGCTGCCCTTCTTCTCCAGCCATCCTCCTCCGTCTACTACGAGAATGCAGCTTCTCTTATTAGGTGCTCATTGCGAGAGTGCAATCACAAGGTGAGGTGAGCCATTTCTCTTTAATTAATCATTCATTTTGGCTAAACAAATTACTTATTAAGCAGCATGCTCCAGGTGCGGTACCTTCCGTCAATTCTTTCAAGTTTTCAGCCTTACGACCATACTCTCCAGCCAAACAAATTTAATTTCTCATAACGTATATATAGACGGAGTTCTATTTATTAAAGCCCGTTTTTGTGTAAGCAGGTGGACAATGGAGAAGATCGTTAAGCCAGTATTGGAGGAGAACAAATATATATCAAGGCCTAAAGCCAATATGAGCAAGATAGAGGTGCCAAGCTTTTTGAATGAAACAATAGGAAGACGGATGAAAATTGGCATGGTAAATATGGATGAGAATGATTTGAGTGAGTGGGATAAGCATGGAAAGACAATTCCGATCCGTTTTGATCGGGTTTCGGATAATTTCAAATGGGATGATTTATTTCCCGAGTGGATTGACGAAGAGGAAGAGAGTGACGTCCCAACATGCCCGGAGATACCAATGCCAGATCTTCAAATTTACGAGAAGATGCACATGGTGGTTGCTAAGTTGCCATGCAAGTATCCGGAAGAAGGGTGGAGGAGGGAGGTGTTTAGGCTCCAAGTTCATCTTATAGCGGCTAATTTGGCTGCGAGGAAAGGAAGGAAGGATTGGAACAGGAAGACAACTAAAGTGGTGTTTTGGAGCAAGTGTAGGCCAATGCTGGAGATATTTAGGTGCAATGATTTAGTCAAACGGGAACGGGATTGGTGGTTGTTTGAGCCAGATATGGCTAGGTTACGGCAAAAGGTATCATTGCCTATTGGTACTTGCAATTTGGCTTTGCCTTTATGGGGACAACAAGGTATGCCTCCAAATTCTGACATCATTTTTGAAATATATTATTGTATATAATTATATATCTATTTCTTTTTTTTCTCAAGTAATTTAATTCGTGATTAGAGAGATAACTACATAATTGTACACCACTAACAATTTAGTAAAAAGTTACAAAGAGTTGTTACGAGATTTTAAAATATAGTCACAAATTTGTTAACTTGATTAAAAGAACAAACATAGCGAAAAACATATGGCAAAAATATGATCAACATTGTGACAATAAATGTGATCCAAATCACACAATTGATGATGAAAAATCTGTAATTGATGAGAACTTAATATTGTTACAGGAATTGATCAAGTGTATGATCTGGCTAAAATTCGAAGCACAACAAACAAACCCAAACGAGAAGCCTACGTCACAGTCCTCCACTCCTCCGATATGTACGTTTGTGGCGCCATAACCTTAGCCAGGAGTCTACTCCAAACCGGCACCAGACGCGACCTTGTCCTCCTCCTAGACAACTCCATCTCTGCCCTCAAGCGAGAAGCTCTCTCAGCCGCCGGCTGGAAGCTCCACGTCATCGAACGAATCAGAAACCCTAGAGCCGAAAATGGTACCTACAACGAGTACAACTACAGCAAGTTCCGACTATGGCAGCTCACTGAATATGACAAAATCATCTTTATCGACGCCGACATTATTGTCCTTCGAAACCTCGACCTTCTCTTCCACTTCCCGCAAATGTCAGCCACCGGCAACGACGTTTACATCTTCAACTCCGGCATCATGGTCATCGAGCCCTCCAACTGCACGTTCCAGTTTTTGATGGACCACCGAAGTGACATCGTATCGTACAACGGTGGCGACCAAGGCTACCTCAACGAGGTCTTCGTGTGGTGGCACCGGCTACCGCGGAGGGTGAACTTTTTGAAGAATTTTTGGGCGAACACGACAAGCGAGAGGACGGTTAAGGATGAGCTGTTTGGGGCGGACCCACCGAAGCTTTATACGATACACTACTTGGGATGGAAGCCATGGGTTTGTTATAGGGATTATGATTGTAACTGGGACGTGGCGGAACAACTTGTCTACGCGAGTGATGTGGCGCACGAGCGGTGGTGGAGGTTCCATGACGGCATGGACGAGGGGTTGCAGAAGTTTTGTGGGCTGACGAAGATAAGGAAGAATGATTTGGACTGGGAACGAAGAAGGGCGAGAAAGTTAGGGTTTCCAAATGGGCATTGGAAGATCAAAATCAAAGACCCTAGACGGAAAAATGTGTTGGCATAGCAGAATTTGTATGTTTTTTTTTTTCATTCATATTAATTTTTCTTGTCATTTTTTGTTTACAGAAATATAGGAGATGTCCCTTCCATAACCAGACTATATATACATTATGCATGTACTCATATCCTGGGATAATGTGTTTTCCTTTAACTTGTAAGTATGTGTTAATACTTAATAGAGATGCACAAGATCGAGATGGAAGCGTGACAATTTTCACATAAATGACAGATACAATTATTTGTAGCTTTGAGCTTACAGAGATACGGGTAACAATATGGTATGCATTATATTAGCTAATTGATATAGAAAAGTGGGTGAGCTTAGCTGAGGGACGTGCTTGTTATGGAGTTAGTGATTCAAACGTTAATTTTTTGGGTAAATTCTTAAAAGATCATGTTGGTAAAATATTCAATTGTTTAGTTAAACTGTAGTCATGTTGTTTTCAGAAAAATCGTGTTCATTATTTATTTTATCACAAATAGATGTTTTAATTATTTATGATTTGTCAAATTAAGCATATTTTATTATGTGCCAGTGATTATGTAAACCAGCTGAAGTGACAATTTTTTTCTTGTAATTAAGCTGGCCACTATCTGTCACTAAGACTTAAGAGCAAACATTAAGAGACAAAACTCATTAATCTGATTGCGTGTAATGTAATGCGAGGATCGATGGTTGATCGGGTGTGATAGGGAAAGGATACGGAGATGAAAGATTGGTTGAGCTAATTAAAATAATTTGGTATACCAACTAAATTAAGGATCACCACATACCAATGCGTAACGAAATTTATTGGCCCAAAGAAACTAAATGCTTTCAAAACTGAACACAGGGTAGAAATTGTATTATAAATTTAGCAAGGGGGTGTATAATATCTTTTTTGGTCAACTGAATCAGTAAGATTTACGTATAAACTTTTCACACAAC